ACCAGTCTGTAAGGGAAGACTTGGTGGTTTTGGTTTGCCAGGACTTGCATTCTGTTTCAGAAAATGAAGAGGAGGAAGAGGAGAGTGTATCCCTTTGGAAAAGCTTTCATCGGCAGAGTGATTTGCCTGGCTCATCCTTTCTCACGGAATAATGCCTTTTTAGGCTTATTTCAGTATTCATTTCCCGACAGCAGAACTGAAGATAGCAGACTAATTCCATTGATTTGCTTCTATCTCGAGTATCTGAAATGAGTATTTTAGACAGTAAAAAACCTTTAGAATTTTCAGCCTTTTCTCATAGTAAGTGATTGCTTTACTGATTCCAGTATGTTCACTTATTGCTGGTCAGTCTATAACAAGGTTTTTTGGGGGGGGTTGAAACAAAATTAGTAATTTGTGATAATGAAGCCAATCACTAGTGATTATAGGAATGTTACTATGACAATTGGGACCATTGCTGCAGAATACTCCAGTGCATTTTTTGTGTTTAAATAAAGTGTCTACTTCCCCATGTCAAGGATGACCTGACAGTTTATGAAGAGCATTGTAGTGCAGTATAGGGGAAGATCTGAACTCTTGACGAAGCTCTTGGAAGGGTTCCTAGTTAACAGTATCCAAGATATGCACAAGAAGCAAGTGTGTCACTATGTGGTCTATCACAAACTCTCACGCGCTTCTTTAAGGTATTTTACTGCTGTTGTCTTACAGGCTTTCCCTGAAAAAATATGGCTTTGATGTTTTATAGCTGCATGAAAACGCTCTTTTTTTTTTTTTTTATACTACATTTCGTTTCTTCATTGCCTCCCCAAATCCCAGCTTGTCAGACTCTCTGAACAAAATAACATGTTTTCTGTAGCTACCTGTTTGCCACTGATCTTGGTACTGCTGAAAGTCCCAGCACCTTCTTCTTTCTCTGTTATTAGTGCAAAATCTGGCAACTCTCTTCAACTTAAACTTGTGCTGGGGTGTGCTATAGCCATATTGTGCTTTTGACCTCCAGACTTTTTGTAACCTAGTGAAGTTCATTGCTCAACAGATAACTCCTTCTCAGTTTTCTCTCTTAATTTATAACTTCTTTTTTTATTATCATCATTATAATCAGTATTTTATCTTGGTTTCTAATTACTATTTCAGTGACATCTGCTTGAGCCATGTTGTTTTCAAGTCTAGATTCATATTTTGTGTTGCTGGAATAGTTTTCAAGAAGTCTCAGCATAGTTTTTAGGCTCGAATCAAAGGGTAGATGATGGGGGGAACAGTGGGGACAATGGAATGAGATATGGTGAGACAGTGGACATGAGAGTGAACTGAGGGATGCGCATGGAATAAAGCAGAATCTGTGAGTGACAAAATGAGATTAAAATAAAACGTTGGCTTGAAATGGAAAAAAGAGAAATAGGATGCATAAATAGGCTGGAAAATTCACGTAAAAGAGGGAAATAATTATGCCAGCTATACAAGAAGACTGTGAGATGAAAATACCAGAAATTCGAGGCTGAAAAAGTAAAAAAAAAATCTTCATACAAAGGATTTAAGTATACATCTGGGTTGAAGCACCTGCCTAGTCCAGTAATTCCTCAGGAGAGATGTTGCAATCCGCATAGTTTATGGCCAGATACAAAGCCTTCTGAAGACGATGGAGCAGTGTCCATTGTACACAGTGGTCACAGCTCTGTGAACATTTGAGCACATGCTGGAGAAAGCAGCAGAAAAATAATGTATGGAGAACATTCCTGCCATCAGTAAGAAGATGGCTTAGCTGATTTAATAGCTTTTTCTCAGTCTGTGATTCTAACAGCCAGGTTTGTGATATTTATTTTAGTATTCATGTTCTTGCAGTCCTTTTTACATTTCTCTGTTTTTCGCTGGCAGACATCCCGCAGCTCCATAAGTCTGGGGGAAGAGGATGGTTAGCATGTTGTTGCTGTGGGGATTTGAGTCTTAATGCTCTGTGTTGTTAATGCTGGGCATATAATTTTAAAACTTGCATGTTATAGAAGCAGATAATTATTTCCCTGCTGCATTTCATCCTTTGGTTTGGGAAAGGAAGAAATTTCAGAATATTAAAAGAAAGAAAAAGTTACAATTTGGGGGACTATTGAAAATGGAAACAGAAAGAGGGGAGTAATGGGTGTCAGTCTGGTTATCAGTCAAGCTGGAAAGAGACAGCTTGTTCTGTCGAACACCAAGAATGTTTGTAGTCAGCCAACCACTTATGCAGGAAGAAAACCCTAGACTGAAAGGTAAGGTTCAAAGACATCTGTGTATGTTTCTGAAATGAGCTTGAATTAAGCTTGCTATTGAATTATGCTTACTGATTATGTGTGTTACATATCTAATTGTTGTTTAGCACAGGCTATTCATATGATTGCTAGCTATTTTAATTTCATTGCAAGATCTGGCTCTTTCTTCTCCAGTCTTGGATGTTTTTTATGTGTCCAGGGTTGACGTTGGGTGACTGTCATTTGGCAGAAGGCTTAGCAGTGCTGTGGCATCTCTTCCCCCCCCCCCCCTTTTTTTTCCCCTTACCTCAAGTGAAATACATTCCCTTCCCATTGTCTACATGTTTATATGGTGAACTTCTTGCTGAATATCTGTGACTAGCATCCACTCAAGCTGGCCTAATGGTGTGATTCACACTCCCATGTGCAAGGATTGATTCCCTGCTTAAAAGAACTTTTCAGCACTAAAGGGTATATCAGCGGTGTGCTGGCTGTGGTTTCTTTCTGTTTGCAAACAAATTTGTTCTTTTTGAGTTAGTTTGTGTTGGTAAGTGGTATTTTCCACTTACCCAGGAAGAAGAAGCAGAGCTTAAGAGTGGATATTGGGGTACGTGCATACATCTGCTTTTTCTGCAGCAGATTTGATGTGCAACTTGAGAGAAGTCATAAAAGACAGGACCCAAAGAGGAGGCTGACAGAAGACATTTTCTCAGCTGCTGTGATCTCCTGAGAACTTAGGAAGGCCAAAGGGAGATTCTAGGTCTCCAAGGCAGCGCCTTTGTAACTGCAGTTTAGTTGTGTGGGCATAGTCCGTGAATTATAAAGCAAAGGCTATGTTTTTCAGGTAGTTTGAAATCCTTATGCAGAGCTGTGGAATCATAAATTATTAATTTTACTGGAGAATATTTCTAGAGGTCACCAGTTCTAATAGTTTCTTTCAAACAGAAGTAAGTTCACTTAGAACAGTTTGCCCCCTATAAAATCTCTGACCTTGCCTATTCAAACTTCTTTACAAATGCATCATTTAACACAGGAAGCTCCTCAGGGAGGGTTCTTCACATCTGCCATCATAATTTCTTATTTCCTAAATGCAGCAATTTGTACTTGATTATTCTTACAAGGATCGTGCCTCCCTTCCCTCCCCCTGCTCTGGCACATTCCTTTGTGCTGCAGCTTGTTCCATAGCCTGAACACAGCATCTGAGAGTGCTTAAAATCCAAAATTTTCTTTGTTGTTATTCTACCATTCCTTTACCACTCAGTTCTAGGGGAGGGCATGAAGGAATCTGCTTTTATTCTCAGACTGTTTTCCTGTGGGTTGTTAGTGACAGCAAGTTGTCATCTTTTTACAGCCATTCAGCAAGTAACAAAACTGAGCTGAATCTCTCATTCCAGTTTCCTAAGGACAAGATTTCCCCAAACAAAAATACACTGCCACTTCTTGGAGCACTTAACATCTGTAGTAGTTAAGCAGAGGACTGAAGCCCAGATTTTTAAAGATTCTTAGGTGCTTGACTGCCACTAGAACTGAATTGGACCAAAGTACCTGTAAATAGCTTTAAAAATTTGAGTGACTATGAAGACCTCACTCATCCATCACTCTTGGCAGTGGTCCCTTCAGAATGGAAGTAAGGCACATCAGTAAGGTCACATGAAATACTTGTAGTCCAACTTTCCAGAAACTGCACGTATTAAGTGAATTGCTGCATTCTAGCATGGCTTTTCCTGAAATACTTCTTCTGAAGCAGATTACTTATATTCCCTGGAAGAAAAGAGCCCTTGCTTGCATGAAAGTAAATATTTAAGACAGACAACTTTTAAAAAGGATGCAGAATTATACTGTAAAAATACCCACCTTTATAGCTTATAATCCATTTTTTATTAAAACTGGGAAATAAAAGTAAAATTCTCATTTAAATTGCTTTCTGCTGTTTCTAGGGGATACTCTTTACATTCCAGTTGGTTTCACTTTGCTGTTCTTCTACCCATTTTCAGTGCTGCTGCTCTAGACTTGCATAACCTTCAGGGAAAAATTTATTCCCAAACATAAAGCCTGTATGGATTTTACTTTTTTTAATATTTAGTAACATTTAACTCTGTGTTAGCCTTTGAATCACTTTCTTTTCCAGTGAATCAAGAATGTTGGGCTAGTGCTGACTGAGAAGAGAATGTCGGTGAAGGGGGGAGCCCTTCAGATCCGTGGCAGGAGTTCCTTCTGTGATATTGTAAAACCAGGACCAAGTGTACAGAAGGCTGTTTGCTCTGTTCCCTAGGATGTAAAGAACAACCACTTGCAATATTTCCTTGTAATAAATGGCGCAGACTTTCTGAAGAATTGGTTAAAACTGGTTCTTGTTTAATTAACTCACATTTTAGTCATGCACAGATGTGTATTCCATTTTGTGTTTGGTGGGGTTTTTTTGAAGGAGGATGGGAAATAAACATTCAGCAATGCAATAAAAAAAAGAAAGGAAAGGAAATGATTCTGTTGAAGAAACATTATTTGACCTGCCATTCTGAAGAATGACTGCCTTGCCTTTTAGATTTGTATTAAATGTCTGAAATCCTTGAGCAAGTTGCCCCTTTCACTCCCTGCTTCCCATCCCCAACTAAAGTACATTCATCAAATTGCTGAGTGGGAAAGGTTTGTGATGAGTTCTTTAAACTGTGTGTCTTTTAGCTTCCATATCCCCCCTTCATCTTAATCTTATATTAAATAAAGCAAATTCCAAACAGATTAACTGTCAAACAGTTATGCTCCATCTCTTCAATTTGCTTTCAGGTTTTTTGAAGGGGAGCGTGCTGATTAGGTAAGGAGATGTCATGGTCTTCTTCCATCGATGTAGGAAGATAGCAGATATGATCGCCTGAAAAAGCTGAACTACACTGCAAGCATGGCTTTCGCCCAGTCGCACATTATGGCAGCTAGAAGGCATCAGCACAGTAGACTCATAATCGAAGTGGATGAGTACAGCTCCAACCCCACACAGGCTTTCACGTTCTACAACATTAACCAGGGACGTTTTCAGCCCCCACATGTGCAAATGTAAGTATTATAGTTTTGTTATTGCTCCAGCACAGCCTTCTGAATTGTTATTGCCTTGTCGATGTGGTATTTGATGGACCAGTCAAAAAGAATTCAAAGAACACTGTTTTGCTGCCTTTCTAATAATAATTACCATAATGATACAAAATCAGTCCATTTGGAAAGTATAAGTACTTTGTTAAAGGACGGGAGAAAGATCACTCTGCTAGCATAACTTTAATACATAATACTCACGTATTAAAAAGAAAAATAAACAACAAACAGTGGTAATAAAATAAAAGATGGTACAAGGATGGTACTTTCTGCAATCTTAATAATGTTTGTTTGCATTGTGCACTTGCTTATTCATGTAAATAGCTGTTGAAAATTCCAAGCCTGTATCCATTTTGTATACTGTTTTGTTAGTTATATTGCAGCTACATACAAGGAAAAATCACATCAATAAATAAAATAGTGTGGGCACCCATCCGATAACTTACTTTCATACCAATGTGCCGAAGATGCCAAGTGCTTAAAGAGTAATTAAAATAATGTGTTTGTTTCTGACTTCTTATATAATGACAACATCAGTAAAATTAACTGCTCTAAATGATTTACTTGCAATGTAAAGTGGAGAATTACAATTACAAAATGAAACTTGCCATAAAGTTTAAAGCCAGAAGGAAGAGCAAAACACTAAAGCTATTACAAATAAATTAAGTATAAAATTCTACTGTAAAATATTTTTATAGGGAATAAAAATGTCTGCACCATTTTATTGAGTTTATTAAAGAGAGAAGCAGCCTTATCTTTAGATCAGAAGGCTGGTTTCCATTTTTTTACAGGAAACTTTTTTTCCTTTAGGAAGACTGAATAAATAATCACCTCATTCACATTTTTGGTGTTTAATATGACTCAGTAATTTGCAAACATAGGCCATGATTTCTGCAGTTAAAAAACTCAACAGTGATGACTGGTTGAACGCGATGTGTCTATTTAGCGTGTGCTTATGTACATTCTTTGGCATAATTTAGATATTATATTAAAAAATTGAAGACTAACAGGTATACCAGGGTGGTGAGCGAACACTCAGTTTTTGAGGGCAGTGTATTAGCTTATGGTCTGTGTTGGGGATTTTTAGGTACTGTTGAAATGCAAACAGTAAAATGAGTTGAGTGTTAGCACTGGGAAACATCTTTTGTTTATAGAGCTAGCAAATGGTAGCAAAAGTACAAACAAACGAATGTGGATTCAGAAATACTTTTACAAATGAAAATAACAAATAAAGCAACCTGCATTTGGTGAAGCTTAGCCATTCTTTGTGAGTATTCAGACAGTTCCTGGGCACTCGTGAATTTGTTCCCTGGTCTTAAAAGCTGCAAGTTTTTAAGTGGGCTGAAAATAAGTTATTTATTAGTATCCACTTGGAACTTAACAATACGCTTGTTAAACTTCTAACCAGTAACAAATCATATTACTGGAGGGCTTAGACAATCAAGTGTGTGATAGAAGTTCAGCACCTAAGCAAGTAGTTGAAAATAAGGTATCCTTAGAAAATGGATCCTCAGAAGAGTTTAGCAATCTCTCATGAATGGTTAATACTATTGAAGAAGCTTGTGCAAATAGAAGAACAGGCTAAATCAATTGAAACATTTACCACAATCTACCCTACTCTTTCTCTTGGTACAGAAATTGTAAATAATGTCTGACTACCAGCAGGATTGCTTTTGCCTCCAACCAATTAATAGAATAATAACAAAGGGAAAAGTAGACATAAAAAGTATGACAAAAGCACCTTTTATTCACATGATTGTTATGGGTGAAATCTTAGCCCATGCAAGTTTTGTCATTAACTTCAGGGAGGTGAGGGCTTTGCCTTGTCTTTGTGTGCAGTTCAAAACACCTAGATTATTAATGTTGCAGGCAATCATAAACAGATTTCACATAGACCTGTTAACATCTGAACTCATAGTAAACTACTTTAAGCATGGGGTGGGGGAGGGTTTGTGCTTCTTCTGAATTCAGTCTTGCAGCTCTTCCTTGGTCCTTCGTGCAGTTTTATATTTCTTGTTTCACTTTTTCGCACCCATATCATGCTGACAGCCCTTCCTAGCCCTATCTTAGTCTGGCATTGCTGTGCTTGTGAGATGACTGGGTCACCACTGACAAGAAGGGTGGTGAATTGTGATAGTGTTTTGAAGTCCATCAGTCATTTCTGGGAAGTTCCTGTCTTGCTCCTGTGTGAAAGCACTGAAATCTAGTGTATAAATGAACCTCAGGCAGTGTCTTTGCTCTGAGATTTTTTAACTGTGGTTTTCAGTTTCTCTGCAAGTTTTCATACTGCTTTAAAGGAAAACAAAAGAATTTGCACAAAAATAATCAGCAGATCTTTATTCCTCTGCTCACGCTGCAAGCAGTGCCTTGGGTGTCGGTGTGACAGCTGCTGTGGGAATGCGTTACACAAGAATCTGGGGATCGAGCCTTCAGAAATGATTTCCAGTAATACAACTTAGATGCGTTTCTGAAACTTGACATATGTTTTTACCTGTATCCGGCCTCAGTGTGTGCATATAACTTCACTGTGAAAATCTGCATCTCATTTATTTGGTTTTTTTGTATTGATGCCTTTTTCCCATGAAAATTCTCTGGCCCATTGCACAGGATTTAAAAGTTATACATACCACAGCAATCAGGAAAATGCTGTCCACATCTTCCCCATCCCCATCCAAACTCTAAGAAAAAGCATGTGTATCATGTGCTGCATGGGTTGCCATGGTAAGTGTGTTGGTTTTTCCATCCAGCTTCAGAGGAGCAACATGTGAAATGCATGCTACTCCCCAACACCCAACTTACTGCTGTGCTGAGCTTTAAAAAGATATGTGAAGGAGAAGTACTTGCTTTAAAGGCTGTCCTACCATGAAAAGTCAAAAAGTGGTGGTTTAGATCAGTTCATATCCTTATGTTGTACCAGCGTAGTATGCATAATTTAAATCTGGCTTACTAATATGACCTGTAACTAATTTTGGGCAGTGCTGGGCAGTAATCAGGAATTTGCCTACTGAACTGATGTTTAATCATTTTAGCTTAAATGGCTGCAAAGATAGCCAGAGTCAGCTCCCCTTCGTTTTTATCCAGCCATCCCAGTTCATTTTGAGGAGGAACTCCATGAGCTGAATGCATTACCCTTCACACAGCTCAGACCTTATGACAAGCCTCACTCACTAGTCTAAAACCCGCCATTCACCATCCATATTCCTTTGTGCCCCTGCTACCTCCACTCACCCACCACCCATAGAGCTCACTCTATGGCAGCTCTCTGAAACATCAGCATTTTTAACATGTGATGGTAGTCATGCAGCTGCACTGTTTGAGGTTGTGACTTGTGATGCCTAACTCCCCCCTGCATCTAACTCTCTTTTATTCATGTGCCCTTCTACACGTGCCTGTGGTCCTCCTGCAACACACGCACTCCCTCAGCCCTACATGCGGTGTTTGCAGTTGCTCTCTCTCAACGTCCAAGCGTTCCACTCTTTGTCCGCCAAGTTTTACAATTTCCAGTACATGTTTGTTTACATATCTCACTAGCACGTACATACTGCTGGGTATTCATTAGGTATGATTTGATCATAGCTGGTTTTACTCCTTACCTCTTGTTTGGTCACTTTCTGCACAAAAACTGGAACTTCAGAAAGATGACTACAAGGTACTTGTACTAAAATGCTGTTTCTCCAGTACTACTGTAAAAACCCCAGCATCTCTTCTTCCTAAAAAGATAAAGGAAAGACTGATACAAAACAATTTGTTCATACTCTAGTTTTGTAGTTATATTGTAGAAAATGCTAAGAACTTTTTCTATATTTAACAAGGTTTGAATGTTTTAGACTTATTCCTCACTCTCTCACTAATCTTGTGAAGTTGTCAAAACCACCTCAGTTTACCTGCTTATAAATATCATAGAATTCTTCTTTGACTTAGGGAACAGATTGCATGATTAAAGATTATTATTGTATGTCTTTCAAGCAATAAAATACCTTCTGAAAATTTACCCAGTAAACAGGGGTAGTATTATTAATAGCAAAGATCTCCAACATTTTTCTGAGTTTATTTATATAAAAGTAGGCTCCTGCATTGAAGCACAACCAGCAAGGGATAGGGATATGTATTATATACTGCAACAGTGAACAAAACTAATTTTATTTGTCCTTTCAAAATAAATGTTGTAAAAGTAAAATAATTCATAACAATTCTGTATATCTCTCTTGTTTCTAGTGACATAAATATAACTCTTGCATCTCTGGCTTTTTTATTTTATTCCACCAGAATTCCCTAACTGGAATGGCAGATTTCGTATAGCTCTGTATAGATACATTTGCTTCTATATATTCTAACAAAATATGGATTGAGGGTAGAAAGATTGAGTTGAACATAAGTATTCCTCATATAGCAGAGAGGTGTTCTCTGCCTTCCTCTTCTAAATCATAAGTAAGTCTCATCAAACTGGGTCAGATCTTTTCATTTCCTCAGTTTTGAATATCGAGATTGGGCTCTGAACAATGCAGCCTCACCCTTCACAGCATCTGATTTCATTTAGTATAATTAAGCCCAGAAAGTTGCCACATTTGTCCTGACAATAGTCAGGCTTGAACGTACATTTACAGCTGTTGTCAGGAGAGTTCTTATCTTGCTTTGCATTAACACACTGAAACATATCTCCAAAATGTGTTAATTAAATTTGCTGAAATTATATAACTTGCAGAAAAAAGTTATAATTAGAAAAAATGCATTGAAATGTATTTATGTATCTAAAATAAATCTTTTCCCTGTGTACCATGTAATGATATTTAAACAATGAAACGGGATAGTACTGTTCCTTTGAAACTGGCAATGTCTTTGATTTATTTTTAAGTATTTGTTTCAGAGTTACTGCCATAGTTCAATCTTTTTTTCTTAATCTCTTTAAATTAATCCATCTACCCAACAAATACTGAAAATGTTGTGATGTGAACATCAAGAATTTTTACACCTCCCATTAGTGTTAGGTTTGTTTTAATAAATCCCTTCCATCAGACAGATCTAGAAGTCTGTGTAATCTTTTGTAAAGGTAAAAGTATTAGAATTGCAAAGTAGATGGTAAGAAGTACATAAGTACTTTATAACCTTGTTATGATGCGTTTCCTACAGGGTTGATCCGGTGCCCCATGATGCTCCCAAACCTCCAGGATATACACGATTTGTCTGTATTTCTGATACTCACTCAAGAACTGATCCCATCCAAATGCCATATGGAGATGTGTTAATACATGCTGGTGATTTTACTGAGCTGGGACTTCCTAGTGAAGTAAAAAAATTCAACGAATGGCTAGGTAGGTATTGAATTCTGTGTGGATTTGAAAGTAAATTTGTTTACTGATTGTATCTGCCCCTTCTGCCTCCCAGTAAAAACCATCATGCACTCAGAAATTATGAATATTAATTTGGTTTTTAAATTTGAATGGTAATGAGCAGGAATCAGATTTTTTTTTTTACAAATATTTTTGCATTTTTCCAACTGAGCAAATAAGATTTGTGAGACTATTCATCTGTTCTGCCTTCACACTCTCAAGTGTACATTAAGCAACTTCTTGGTGTTAGCAACAATTTAAGTCAGTAGGCCTTCGATGATTTACATAAAACCTCTTACATACATTGTTATGGCTTTGCTTCCCTGCAAAAAAAAGTTGTTGTGACTGAAAACATTTGTCTGTTTAACCCCGGAGGCTCATAGTTTTTTTATCTGAGGCTCAGCTGCACCACAGTGATGAATTCCAAACAAAGCAAAACGTGTGCCTGTGGTTGCTGTCTTGGATGTAGCAGACCAGATGTAGATGCCTTCTGTAGGCAACTGTTGGCATTGGTAACTGAAATTCTGTTCCACTGGGCAAGAGAGTGGTGATTTACATGTGCTTCTGCAATGTTTTGGGTATGCTAAAAAAAAAAAGACAGTGACAATTGGAAAGCATACACTGTATCCAGACAAAAACCCTGATAGGTATTGCTTCTGCAGCAGCGTGGATACCTTAATTTGCAATAAAAATGGATTCTTAATTCTGATGCTTCATTATCAAAAAAGGGTGAGAGGAAATGAAGGAGTTGGAGAGAGAAAGAACACAGTTTAAGGGTAAAATAGATTTTAGTTTTTAGATTGATTTTCCTTCCTGTAGTTTACATTTTTGCATTTTTCCTGTCTTTATTGCTACATACTACAGCATTCCACACTAAGGCATAAAGTAGACAGATGCATGTAGGCTGAAATGGAATATAAAAAAAAGTCGAGACTTCACAATTTAAACAAATATTTACTAGCAAATAATTATCAGCAAGGCTGACAAATGTTTATTTGAGCTTGGGAACCCAATAATATGTCCCACATGGAACAACTGCATTGTTCTGTGAGTATTAAGGTAGGGACAGCATGTGGAAGTGCCCTCACCTCTGTATCCAAATGTGCACAGGTTGGTTGTAAAACACAAACCAAATTTTAATCCTATTTTGTAGGTCTCTACGATGTAGTATAATAATGTACTGAAAACAGCATATAAAGATTATATAAACCATATGGTTATCCCTTCTAAATAATACCCATTTTATTTATCTGCTAGTGTGGGAAGAAAAGTGCTTTGGGATATTGGTAGCAAGCAGGGATGGGGGCTACACACATTACTTGCTGCACAGTTTTTGTCTCCCTGGTTCTCCATCTGCCTCCCTGCTGGTCACAGCTATACAGTGTTCTGAAGAAGTCCTTAAGCTGAAATCCTCTTGGTATGGTAGGGAGATTTCCCAAGGCATTTCTGTGATGGTCTCTTCATCATTTTTATTCCAAAAGAGGGCTTAATTTTCTGACTTCTCAGGCATGCTTCCAATTTCATGGTAGTGCACGATTTGGGAAAAGGTGATCTTGATGGTTAGAGTCGTATTTTTGCAGAAGCATCTTTGAGATATGCAAATTTAGCAAGTTAAAGATTATATTTTTAGTTTCTTGGCAATTTGAAAAAAATGCAAAATTTAACTTAGTTTTTTAATTCATTCTGGAAAATCCAATAGAAAAATAATTTGGGGTCACTACATAGGTTGCAATCAGCTAGCATTTAAAGTTTTGTTTCAGTTCAAAATTGTAAACTTTTTTTTTTAAACTACTGTCAATGAAATGTCAAAATGGAAACTTCAGATTTTTTTGAAAGTTGTTTTTTTTTTTTAAAATGAACAATTTATCAACTCTTGAATACCTTGAATGTTTGCAAAATCTATAGTAAATGGTGGAATGGTTAAAAATGTTCTCTTTGGGAAGATTAAATTTCAAAAGTTTTTGCTGGTTGTCCATTTTGTTGTTAAAGGCACTAGTCTCCAACAGTTTTGATTTTTCTAGATAGATAGCTGCTTGCAGTAGCTGCCATAATTTTGCAACTCCCACAGCCTACCCAACCTTCTCCTTCTTTCTTGGCTTAACATTTTACTTGTTCCTTGAGAAACTAATTGACAGACTCTGGCACAGACTTGTACCTCCACTGTCATTCTTACCTGCTGCCCCCAAATTTCCCTGTCTGTTTCTTCATCCCATACTGCAGGGCTCGCCTTCCCACTTAGTTGTTTAGTTCGGTGTCAAATCTGTGTCTTTTGCCATCATTAGACTATAATTTTATTTATGCCTTGGTATAAACACTAGAGTGTTTGCTACACCTTCCCTTGATCTCTGCTTCCTCTTAGGCATGAGATACATATCCTACTTCTGCTTTTGCACCGTATCTTTATGTGTAGCATTGATTCCTACCTTTCAGCTTTCTGTTCCATCATACCCTCTTGGGTCTGTGCCACTTAGGTCTATTGGCCTATTTCATCTTTTCAAGAGGCCCTTCAGCAAGTTCAGGTTTTATCTTTCTGTTCTACATAAAATTTCTATGCCTGTTGGATGCAAAGTATATTTTACATTAACATCATTAACTTCCATGGACCTTATGGTTATATCGAGCACATGCTCAAGTGTTGTGCTAATAGAGGCACGTTGGCTTGCTGAGTCATACCCTAAAATATGTTCTCTCTTTTTTAGGCTGACTGTATGTGGGTACACGGGAAGGCCTGTACCAGCTCAGATAATATGTCTCTCTAGCCCAGTATTGTTTTTGACCATGGCTAGCAGCCAAGGTGCTCTGCTTTGTCTGCCCCTTAGTCACCTAGTTTTATACTTTTTATCCTCTGGTCCCTAAAGCCTTCCACTTCATTTCATTTCATTTCACTTCGTTCTTTTTGGTAATTAGTTGTTTTCTTTCACTTTTCGTCAAAGCCCCCTCCCCCCTTCCCAGGGAGGGATTTGAGGTTTTACTAGGGCTAGTTGATGCCCAGCTCTATGGAGGAGATTAAATGGTGGTGATAACTGGATGTGCATATTTTCTCAGCTTTCTTTGCTAGGCAGTCCAAGGACTTCTTGAGCCACAGTGTTACTTTGTATTTAATATATAGATTTTTCTTCTCTGAGTTTTTTTTAGTTGCCTTCTGGATCTATGCAAATTTTGAGTGCCGACACAATCTTGTATCAGAGTTCCACAATATGATATGGATTGTGTGAAGAACTTTACTTATTTTGAACCTGCCACCTACTAGCTTCATTTGATATTTCCTAATACTGGAATAGGCACGTGAACAATTCCATTCTTCATTCTGCTTAAGAATGTATAGGCTCTTCTTATATCTGCCTTTAAGATATTTTTCAGGCTGAAGACTGTTTCGAAGTCTTTAAATGCCGTTGATCATCCATGTCACTCTTTGTACCTTTTTGTTCTATATCCTTTTAAAAATGGTGAGACCAGAACTGCACATGATCTGAGTACACCACAGACTTACCCTCTGGCATAATGAAATTTCCTAGTTTGTTCTCTTTTTCTTTCTAGTGTTTTGGATTGTTCTGGTTTTATTTTTGACTGTGACTGAACAGTGAGATGGCATTTTCATAAAATTGTCTATTATAACTCTACGAACTCTTTCCTGAATGGTAATATCTAGTTCAGAACCCATCAGTGTGTATCTATAGTTGGTGTATTTTTCCCAGTACTTGAATTATTCTGCATAAATTTATATTCAGTTTCATCTGTCCTCTTATTGCCCAGTCATGCAGTATCATGATGTACTTTTGCAAGTCAGATTTCTATTTTGCTACTCTTATTCAGGATAGCTTAGAAAAAGAAGGGAAAAAGGGATGAATAGTCAGTTTACAAAGCTTGCCAATGGTGCCAACCTGGTCATTTCCCTCCCTTCTTTTCCCATATTGACCTTTCTCCTGTTTTTATATTTCATCTTTTCCCTTTTTTTCCCTAGTTTCTTCTCTGACTGTATTCTTCTTCCAAATTTGAACATCCAATTTTGGATGAAGTAGAAAATATGTATTATGGTAGGGCCAAATGGGAGTCCATGAGGCCAGTGAAACTTTCTAATGACATTATAAGGATGCATGGTATGACAGCTTTGAACATATGCTAATTTTCTAGTATGTCCAGGAGATTTTAATGACATCACTTTAAACAGCTGAAAATAATTCAGGGAAATTGTTTCTAAATACATGGAGCTGTTGGAGTGAGTCCAGAGGAGGGCCACGAAAAAGATCAGAGGGCTGGAGCAGTTCTCTTGTGAAGACAGGCTGAGAGAGTTGGGGTTGTTCAGCCTGGAGAAGAGAAGGCTCCGGGGAAACCTTCTAGCAGCCTTCCAGTACCTAAAGGGGGCCTACAAAAAAGATGAAGAAAGACTTTTTATCAAGACCTGTAGTGACAGGACAAGGGGCAGCAGTTTTAAACTGAAAGAGGGTAGATTTAGATTGGATCTAAGGAGTTAATTGTTTATAATGAGGGTGGTGAGACACTGGAACAGGTTGCCCAGAGGTTGTGGATGTCCCATCATTGAAAATGTTCAAAGAAGTCAAGTTGGATGAAGCTTTGAGCAACCTGATCTAGTGAGAAATGTCCCTGCCCATGGCAGGGGAGTTGGACTAGTTGACCTTTAAAGGTCTCTTCCAATCCAAACCATTCTATGATTCTATGTAATCATGGCTAGATAACGTAGATTGTATCATAAGATATATCAAGCTCACTATGCACTCTAACTATCCTTGTCCTCAGCTTTTTCATTATTTTGTTTTTGTTATTTATTCCCTACCTGCATATAAATCAAATGTGCTGTAGGACAAATACAAAGACACATGTCCTGCTTTAATGTACTCATCAAATAGTGACTCCAAAACCATCTCTATTTTTTTATCTCCCATATTGTTGGCACTGGAAATTGCCTGCTTGGCTCAGTTGCTCTTGTAATTCCCTTTGCTGAAGTCTGTAATATCATTTCCAAATTGTGTATGCTCCAGGACCCACTGTCACTTTGAGCTTGTGGGTTACTTTCCTGGAAATGTAACTAAATAGCCAATCTGTGATATAAGCTGGAAGACATACTTCTGTATTCACTCTCAGAATTCTGTGCATGGATTGGAAAGATTACCTAAAGTAACACATT